TGAGAGAAGGAAAAGGCAAACTCAGAGACCTCCAGTTACACATAAACCTCAAAATAATTATGACTGAAACCTAACTAAACCACACCATTGCTGACAATGAACTCAGTATAAGCTTAAGTAACAGCGACGAGGCATCTGAACAGAATTTTTCCAATCGGCTGGTGGACTGCCACTATAATATTATTCGAAATAACCTGCTTCTAGTTTGTTTATCTATTGTGCTATTCGAACACATTCTGAGGTAGCTTTAGTCAGGAAGTACATTAGACGCTCTAATACAGCAGTCATAACTTGTCATTAAGGCTATCCCTGTACTACTTAGTCATCAAAAATTGTCCACCGACCAATACAGTTTAGTAGACGGGTCGGGAGTGTAAAGTGAATTATCCCCAAAACACTAGAAAGCTACACGCGACATTCGTCCCATTCGTATAAGCCCCACAGACGCTATGGAGTGAGTAGCAGCTGATAATAACACTGAATCCAACAGCTGCATCAACCCTTGCAGTTACACAGATTGATAGAACTGTGAACCATGATCAGAATAGATATTTTAAAACGAACGACGGGCAACCCAGCGCTGGATGTTCCAATATTAAATCATCTACTAGCAACCTACGTGGTTTGAACTACCCCACAACACGTTGAGGTGGTGACACTCACTTTCAGCTGCCTATAGAGCAATATAAGAAGGCTGAGAGAAGGAAAAGGCAAACTCAGAGACCTCCAGTTACACATAAACCTCAAAATAATTATGACTGAAACCTAACTAAACCACACCATTGCTGACAATGAACTCAGTATAAGCTTAAGTAACAGCGACGAGGCATCTGAACAGAATTTTTCCAATCGGCTGGTGGACTGCCACTATAATATTATTCGAAATAACCTGCTTCTAGTTTGTTTATCTATTGTGCTATTCGAACACATTCTGAGGTAGCTTTAGTCAGGAAGTACATTAGACGCTCTAATACAGCAGTCATAACTTGTCATTAAGGCTATCCCTGTACTACTTAGTCATCAAAAATTGTCCACCGACCAATACAGTTTAGTAGACGGGTCGGGAGTGTAAAGTGAATTATCCCCAAAACACTAGAAAGCTACACGCGACATTCGTCCCATTCGTATAAGCCCCACAGACGCTATGGAGTGAGTAGCAGCTGATAATAACACTGAATCCAACAGCTGCATCAACCCTTGCAGTTACACAGATTGATAGAACTGTGAACCATGATCAGAATAGATATTTTAAAACGAACGACGGGCAACCCAGCGCTGGATGTTCCAATATTAAATCATCTACTAGCAACCTACGTGGTTTGAACTACCCCACAACACGTTGAGGTGGTGACACTCACTTTCAGCTGCCTATAGAGCAATATAAGAAGGCTGAGAGAAGGAAAAGGCAAACTCAGAGACCTCCAGTTACACATAAACCTCAAAATAATTATGACTGAAACCTAACTAAACCACACCATTGCTGACAATGAACTCAGTATAAGCTTAAGTAACAGCGACGAGGCATCTGAACAGAATTTTTCCAATCGGCTGGTGGACTGCCACTATAATATTATTCGAAATAACCTGCTTCTAGTTTGTTTATCTATTGTGCTATTCGAACACATTCTGAGGTAGCTTTAGTCAGGAAGTACATTAGACGCTCTAATACAGCAGTCATAACTTGTCATTAAGGCTATCCCTGTACTACTTAGTCATCAAAAATTGTCCACCGACCAATACAGTTTAGTAGACGGGTCGGGAGTGTAAAGTGAATTATCCCCAAAACACTAGAAAGCTACACGCGACATTCGTCCCATTCGTATAAGCCCCACAGACGCTATGGAGTGAGTAGCAGCTGATAATAACACTGAATCCAACAGCTGCATCAACCCTTGCAGTTACACAGATTGATAGAACTGTGAACCATGATCAGAATAGATATTTTAAAACGAACGACGGGCAACCCAGCGCTGGATGTTCCAATATTAAATCATCTACTAGCAACCTACGTGGTTTGAACTACCCCACAACACGTTGAGGTGGTGACACTCACTTTCAGCTGCCTATAGAGCAATATAAGAAGGCTGAGAGAAGGAAAAGGCAAACTCAGAGACCTCCAGTTACACATAAACCTCAAAATAATTATGACTGAAACCTAACTAAACCACACCATTGCTGACAATGAACTCAGTATAAGCTTAAGTAACAGCGACGAGGCATCTGAACAGAATTTTTCCAATCGGCTGGTGGACTGCCACTATAATATTATTCGAAATAACCTGCTTCTAGTTTGTTTATCTATTGTGCTATTCGAACACATTCTGAGGTAGCTTTAGTCAGGAAGTACATTAGACGCTCTAATACAGCAGTCATAACTTGTCATTAAGGCTATCCCTGTACTACTTAGTCATCAAAAATTGTCCACCGACCAATACAGTTTAGTAGACGGGTCGGGAGTGTAAAGTGAATTATCCCCAAAACACTAGAAAGCTACACGCGACATTCGTCCCATTCGTATAAGCCCCACAGACGCTATGGAGTGAGTAGCAGCTGATAATAACACTGAATCCAACAGCTGCATCAACCCTTGCAGTTACACAGATTGATAGAACTGTGAACCATGATCAGAATAGATATTTTAAAACGAACGACGGGCAACCCAGCGCTGGATGTTCCAATATTAAATCATCTACTAGCAACCTACGTGGTTTGAACTACCCCACAACACGTTGAGGTGGTGACACTCACTTTCAGCTGCCTATAGAGCAATATAAGAAGGCTGAGAGAAGGAAAAGGCAAACTCAGAGACCTCCAGTTACACATAAACCTCAAAATAATTATGACTGAAACCTAACTAAACCACACCATTGCTGACAATGAACTCAGTATAAGCTTAAGTAACAGCGACGAGGCATCTGAACAGAATTTTTCCAATCGGCTGGTGGACTGCCACTATAATATTATTCGAAATAACCTGCTTCTAGTTTGTTTATCTATTGTGCTATTCGAACACATTCTGAGGTAGCTTTAGTCAGGAAGTACATTAGACGCTCTAATACAGCAGTCATAACTTGTCATTAAGGCTATCCCTGTACTACTTAGTCATCAAAAATTGTCCACCGACCAATACAGTTTAGTAGACGGGTCGGGAGTGTAAAATGAATTATCCCCAAAACACTAGAAAGCTACACGCGACATTCGTCCCATTCGTATAAGCCCCACAGACGCTATGGAGTGAGTAGCAGCTGATAATAACACTGAATCCAACAGCTGCATCAACCCTTGCAGTTACACAGATTGATAGAACTGTGAACCATGATCAGAATAGATATTTTAAAACGAACGACGGGCAACCCAGCGCTGGATGTTCCAATATTAAATCATCTACTAGCAACCTACGTGGTTTGAACTACCCCACAACACGTTGAGGTGGTGACACTCACTTTCAGCTGCCTATAGAGCAATATAAGAAGGCTGAGAGAAGGAAAAGGCAAACTCAGAGACCTCCAGTTACACATAAACCTCAAAATAATTATGACTGAAACCTAACTAAACCACACCATTGCTGACAATGAACTCAGTATAAGCTTAAGTAACAGCGACGAGGCATCTGAACAGAATTTTTCCAATCGGCTGGTGGACTGCCACTATAATATTATTCGAAATAACCTGCTTCTAGTTTGTTTATCTATTGTGCTATTCGAACACATTCTGAGGTAGCTTTAGTCAGGAAGTACATTAGACGCTCTAATACAGCAGTCATAACTTGTCATTAAGGCTATCCCTGTACTACTTAGTCATCAAAAATTGTCCACCGACCAATACAGTTTAGTAGACGGGTCGGGAGTGTAAAGTGAATTATCCCCAAAACACTAGAAAGCTACACGCGACATTCGTCCCATTCGTATAAGCCCCACAGACGCTATGGAGTGAGTAGCAGCTGATAATAACACTGAATCCAACAGCTGCATCAACCCTTGCAGTTACACAGATTGATAGAACTGTGAACCATGATCAGAATAGATATTTTAAAACGAACGACGGGCAACCCAGCGCTGGAGGTAATACTGGGGACAGTCGTTCTAGCACCACAATACTGTACAACGTACTGGTGCGCAACAGCAACTTATTAGGAAGAGGCTATCTGATTGGAAGGATTTATACGGCAAACTACTGACTGACAACCTGCTCATTAAGCTGTAAGGGTTGGAGAAAAGTGCCGTAGCTCTTTAAGGTAAGCCACCACCAATTATGAATATATCAGGTTTGGTTAAACATATTGAGAACTTTATTCTCCTAGTCTCTAAAGCCCTAAAGATGGTGAGATCCCCGAATGTAAGAATAAGACTGATCTACATATTCCTACATGACATTCTAGAAATGAAAGTAGGTAACCTTTGTGAAAGACACGCTCATGGTGTAGGTGGCTGTCTTCCCAGATGGCGGTTAATGGTTCTGGGGCAAATTCTGTTTCAAACTTCTCGTCGTACTCCCGTCACATCACTCAGCTAACTATGATTACCAGCAATAAAATTCAGCTCTCCACAGAAACCAACTAGTGTTCTGCATCATTGGTAGAGGGTGAAAATGGACATTCGATCCTATTAGATCTAAGTCAGTAAAGTAACGTGAATTGCAGCCTCATGCACTACGTTCAGAATAGAATTGTACGGCTATGGCTATATATATATATATATATATATATATATATATATATATATATATATATATATATATATAATTTCGTCGGCAGTGACCATCACACAAGCAGCATTAAGTCAGAAGTCAAGAAGACAGCAAGGTATTCAGTCAAAGAGTCAATATTTTTTTTAAATTAATCCGATCAATTCAGTCTAGAAGTGTGAAGAAAGAAAAATATAAGGACAGGCATATAACCTTTAATTGAGCTAAAATATTTACTTACTTTGTTTAAACGAAAAAAGGTAGTCTAACAATTCGTAAACAAGAAATCTTCAGTATTAATTAATGGAATACAAGTCTTTTCAAATGTATCACCCTTTATTTTTCATAAATAGAATCTTTCTAATTTATAAAAAATCGCCATTCGAACATTAAAAGAGAGTCTATCATGAATAAACCCAATGCTGAAGGTGTCATTAAGCCATAATCTGACTACCTCCAACCCACCCGACTGACCTAGGGTGTAGACTTCAGTCATTGCAAAGTATTTTGTAGATTAAATTATTTTGTCTAATTTTATGAATAAGAAGTAATTGACAGATATATTTTACTACCTCTTTATTCGTCAATGTGCAAAGGCGCTATACACAAGGTTAATATAAAAATATCCATATTATAATAATCAGTATTAAGTTGATTAACGAAAACAGAGGAACTATTAAAATATCAATTTTTAACATTGAAAGGACTGAATACTAATCACTCAAATAGCTGTTTCCATTTAGCTACTAGTTTATCTAAACAATAAAATTGATGATTCCAGTCACACGGATACAGATATGGTCGAAAATCAAATCTAAAAGGTAGGGAATAAAAGGGAAAAAACAAGGGGTTATGCAATAAAATATACTAGCTGCAGTTAACTAATAACTACACTTACATTTACAAGAATAACAAATGGCTGTTAGATGTCATAATATTTTCAACTATTGGTATTGTAGGGATTGTGTTTGATTGGTTGGAGGGTTTTATCATGAGCTGACATCAGCTAGGGAAGAGTCCCAAAATAGGAAGAAACAGATGTCCAGTACTCCCAGAATTTTCAATGATTCTCTAACTGATGTCAGCTCATGATGAAGCCCTCCAACCGGTCATAATATTTCTTTGTTCATGTCAATGCATGTAGGCCATAACAAAACAGTAATGAGAATATAAAAATGCAGAGAATTACACAACGAAAATACAGAGCAAGCTAATCGGTTTGGATCACGCGTCCGGACCTTGAGCCAACGACTAAGATTTGGGCAGGCAGGATAGTACGTACCACTTTTCTTCAACAGAATAAGTAACTCGTTGTTAACTGCATATATATGTCAGAGGTTGTTGAATAGCATTCATTTTTCTTTTATTTAAAAGTACCTGATTACAGACATCATGTCGGTGGTACAGTGATAAAATGCTCGCCAACCACTCAGATGGTTGGGGATTCGATCCCCAGGATACGCACTCCTTTACCTCAATAAGCCAATAATAAGACTAGTAAAAGGGGAAGGTTGGGCATGAGGCTAGCAACCCATTCCGTAAAAATAAATACCACTGATACCGGAAGTTCAAAGCTCTAGCTTGAAGCCTTTTGTTTCACTGGGAACGTAAAGGAACAAAATTTAAAAAAAAGTTAAATTGCAGACATCAATGTAGTGATGAAACGAGGTAAAAAGGACGAAAGTGACATTAAAATAAGAAAAAATATACATTCGCGAAGAAAATGATTACAATTGAGAATCTCAAGAATTCCAAAAATAGTAAAAGATTAACATGTTGCTAGAACTGTGAACCATTTTGATCCATGCCATTAAGTGTCTCCAATCGGTCATTCTTATCCTCAAAATTGCAATCTGACACAGTCCTAAATATTTGTGTACACTTAAGACTAATAAACATAACGTACTGACATCGACTATTTTTCGGCTGATATTAAACAGCGTAAATGCATCTGAACAATTAATTTGCTGCTACCCAGACTTACACTATAAGTCACTTCAAGCCAATAATGCAATCTTTTTACACATAAAGATGTGAAATACATACAAAAAGATTATGTACATTTTGATTTGACACTAGTAACTAGTGTGATGCGCCTGGTCCTCTGATTGGTGTAGACTGAATTTTATCAGTCAGGTTGTAATGTGACCACCATTCTAGCTAGCTCGCCATCACGGTGCACATTGATTTGATGGTATTAGATGGTTGGAGGCAATCGGCAGGAAGCCTTGGACCTAGGTTTCGTGCTAGTTGGAACTCGTCAGCAAGGCGTATCTGCAACCTTGAAGGAACTCATATCCCTTCTGAGATTTGAACCCGCATCACCCAGTGCTGCAGTAAGAGACGTTACCACTGAGCATCTAATACCATCAAGATTATGTACAACTCTTAGTTGAAGGGGAGAATTAAACAAACTGATAAATATCTATTATACCATCAAATACTGTTTATTCATTCCTTTGAGTCCCGAGTGGGATATAGGAGGCGTCAACTTTGCTATTTGAAGTTTCACTAGATGTAGTATGATTTTACTGGATGAGTTCGCTAGCCTCAACTCCTACCTTCCCTCATTACCAGCCTAAGCGGGGTTTATAAGTGCGTTAGTCAAGAATCAAGCCCGGACCAAATGTATGGTTGGCGAGTATTTTAACACTGAATCACCAACACGGAAACAAATAATAAAAAACTGTAGTGTTTAATACTTACTACAAATAGTTGAGTGTGAAAAAAGAGCTGCTTACCGATTATCATCAGCATCATAAGCTTCAGTGTGGTAGGCTGGCGGTAGAACAGTAGCCTTATGACGATTCATAGCATATGTACGAAAGAATAATTTCACTTTCTCGCTAAGATATGCACCAAGTTCAGCATTAGGCTTTCTATCTTCGTCGAAACACCTCTCAGGTATTACATGTTTAATCTTCAACCAATCACTATTGACTAGAAGTGATTCTAGCATGCTATAGGGTCCACAGTTGAATATTTTTCTAAGTCTACCAAATAATGATAATTCATCATAGGTTAATCCCATTTCATTTTCATCTGTTTGGCTTATTTCACCATTTGATGCAAGTGGCATTAATTCAGCAGTTGGCTGAGCTGAAAGAATCTCTGATAATATTTGCGAAAAATGTCTTCCATTTTTAGGGTCCATACAGATGGATAATGTTTGAGCACAGTATTCAATAAATAATCGTAAATCTGACTTGCTAATACTTCCTATAGGATTTAAATCTGCACTAGAGCAATCATATCTTTAAAAAAACCAAAGCGAAAGTTTGTGAAGAAAAGGAAGTGTTTGATGGGTGATTGAATTCAAGCAAAACCTGAAACAACTAATGAACACTAACTAGCGACAGCGAAAAAAAGCAAAAAAAATGACGAGATTTACACCTTAACAGGCGTTAGTAAATTATTGTCGAGAGAAGATGTGCTTTACACCTTATGTTTTAACTGAATATGTCGTTTTGGCTTCAATATCATTCTTCATCTCAGTCAAAGATTATGTCACACCTAGTTTAAAATTAGATGAAAGTAATTTTATGTATTCATCTAGGAAATTAATCCAAGAAGTCATGGAAATATGGTACTACTAACTTATCAATACTAAAAAAATCCCTTTAAACCTTAATTCATGTGATAATGTTTCGTAGAATGTTTTGAATAAACAATTATTACTTTTTGTAAAATATCAGTTCGATTATTTTGCACTGTCAAGAGCACAAAAAGTGGCTCACAGTATCAGAGTAATTTGTGACTTATCAATTTACAATAAACGTACATACAAGAAGCATAAAAGCATATGTGAACCCTACTAATAAAACAATAATTTCAAGTGTTGGTTTGCAGGAATTTGATTGGTCTCAGGATTTCATTATGAAATGACATGAATTGTTGAAGAGCCCCAGACTGGGACGAAACAGCTGTCCAGTACTCTCAGATTTTCCAATGGTCCTCTAAAGGATGTCAGTTCATGATGAAATCCTGCAACCAATCGAATCCCTGCAAACCAACACTTGAATATTAATCTGATGCTCACTAGTGACTGGCCCTATTCAGGTAGGTGGTAGTTACTTGCGTAGTAGCGGGAAGTTGTGGCCAGTGGGGTACAGCAGGTCGGGTGTGAGGACAAATACTCACCGATGACATTCACTAGTGGTCTCGGCATATCATGAATTGGCAGAAGTTGGAATTCATGGACCCTTGGGTCCGGTCCCAGTGGCTTAATAGTCTGGGGGATCGCCTTGTAACTAGAAGGTCCTGGGTTCGAGCCTCAGCTCGTGCATACCACTGAAAAATCCCAAACTAGGACAAAACTGGTTTCCAGTTTTTTTCCTTCACGTTCCCAGTGGAACATAGGGCCTCAAGCTAGTGGCTTGAAGTTTCTGTAGCAGTGTTTGTTTTACAGGATGGGGTTGCTAGCCTCATGCCCAATTTTTCCTCTTTACCAGCATTATTTCTGGCTTAGCGAGGTAAAGGAGTGCGTCGGCCTGGGATCGAACCCCGGGCCATGTGCATGGTCAGTGAGCATCCGAACCGCTGCGCCACCGACGCTTTCCAGTACTCCCAGGTTTTCCAATGGTCTTCTAACCGATATCAGTTCGTGATGAAATCCTGAAACAATAATTCCATTTATAGAGGAGATATTTAGTGATACAATCAACTGTAGGTGTAAAATTTCATTTACCACACACATGCTAGGAAAGAAAACAGTGTCTTGTCATAGTTTAGTAAATTGTCTGATCACCAGTCCCAAGATATGCTCTGATCAAGCAGTTATTTCTACACAGGAAATCTACTTAAACTAAAAGATTGGGCTACTGACTTTTATGCTCTGCTCTGCCACTCTTCACTCTTTTCAATCTCCAAAGTGCATGCTGCAATGCCCACCTTACTCCGTTGCGACTATGCTACACAAAATATTTAAGCTAATAGTTTGCATACTTTATTTTGAAAACTTATTTGTTGTTTTGTAATAAGCTATAGACTTTATGGTAATTACATAATTTTCTTCATTGGGAGGTGAACTAATTGCAAAAAATACGTAGAAAAAATAGAAGGGTCACAAATAAAACCTTTATAGAAAGTACATTTTATCCTTATAATTTATAAAAGTACACGGAAAGAAAAAATCGATACAAGATATATGACTTTTTTGAATGAACAAGAAGGATTCAAATGGACAAACAGAAAGACAAAGTAAACGAAGAGTGATAAGATGTTCATTTCTTAGGGAAAGCTTGAAAAAGAGAAATTTTCTACATTATTATGATCGATTTACACTAGCAAATTAGTCTTCAGTTATTTACTCTCATCGAAGTTTGACAGACACAAGTAAACAATATAAGCTATCGAAAATTTGAGAGTTAATTACAGTTTATCAATGTCAACTTCCCTATCGTGTTGACATTAGCAATTAGTAGATTTACAGATTAGTTTAATACTTTCCATGGATCACCTTTACTTCGAATCTGTTCCAGTCTGCATTATACAGTTGGGTAGATGAGGGCCTGACCAATATAGTATATTCCAGTCATCTCACAGCCAGAGAAATTGTAGTCATCAAGTGAATAATCCTGGTTATCCAAAACTCTGTATTATTTAGACCTTCAGCTTTGAATTTCGGTAACGATAGTGTTGTTTCCACTGAGTGGGGTTGTTAGCCTCGAGCCCAACAGTCCCTCTTCACGAGGCTCACTATCGGCTAGGCAACGTTTGTGAATGCATCGTCCGAGAATCGAATCTAGCTCTACTGAGTGACAAACCTTAGAATCACCACAAAAACTAAAAAAACATTGACAGTGTGTACTGATTTGAAAAGACGCACTGATAACAGGAAATATGCTGTCGGAAAACCAGAAATACATGCATTTACCAGCTACTTCTATCAAAATAATCCTAACTTGAAAGGAAGCAGTGACCACAGATGTAAAAATACACGTCAGATCACGTGCTTTCTATCCAACAAATATTCCACAAAGGCTTGATTGAAACTGTAAGTTTCTAATAAAAACGGATACGCCATACACATCTAGTATTCTTTAAATTTAAAAGTTGATCGAAATGCAGGTACGACGAAATCAAGGTAAACAAAACTTCATATGACTTTATACATTTTTTATAAGGATACATACATAGGTAGTCCCTCATGATCACTTTCCATCTACACACACATGCACACTCAATTCTGAGACAATAAAAGAGAAAAAGGGAGAAATTGGAACTAACTTTGTTAAATAACCTCTCAACCCTTCGTCTAAGTTTGCACTGCTTAAAATTAAAAGACTCGATGGTAAGTTAGATTGGCACGGTATCAATTGAGCTAAGAGATAAGCTGAAACCATACGACTTCGAGCTTGAATATTCTGAAGAGCTAAACTTTCCTTGCTTGAACCACCATGGACAGTATATCGAGGTGGTTGGGAAAGTTTTAAGGTTTTTGAAGCCATTTGAATGAAGTCATTTATCAGTGGTGATATATCCGACTGAAAGAAATGCATATAAGTAAAAACAAAAATAAGCATTATGATTGTTTATAGAGTTCCCTATCAAAAGCCACATATCTGTTGATCTGCTGAAACCAGGATTAATAAAAAAAAGTAACACGAAAAAGTCTTCTATGCCGACCACCTTATTAACATATAAAACTCAGAAGACAAACGAAACAACACAGAATCTTGCATAATTGTCTATGCTGTCATTGCTTTAAACAATAAGCAGACTAAAAACTAATAATTTATATGAAGGGTTTATGCCATGGTGAGGACCTGTCGCAGTTGCTATAGATATTCTGATGGAGCTAATCCCTAGTAAAGCAACACTGAAGGTTGTACTTAGACTGACATCCAAGATTCCGTCAACAACATATGAAGGCTCATTGAACAACAAAAGCAACTGAAAGAACAAAAAATGAATGACAAAATTTACCGACAATGAATGTTGTTTATTGAGTAGGTTTTCAGTAAAGGCAATAAAGACTGCTGTACTTCAGGATTTTTTAAAGGTTAGTTATCACAGTTACAAGAAAGTAATGCATACAGAGTTGTTCATCACACGCAACCTAACCCATTCTGTAGTTCGCGTACTTTTCTACCGGAAAAAGCGGAAAATATTGCTGTCAAACAGGTATAGACGTGCATCACTTTAGCTTGCTAAACTTCGGAAAACAAGAAGTAAGAGCGAAAAACAATACTAAAACTAACAAGAAGGAATATGAATGAACAGAGAATAACTACGCAAAGATCACTGAGTATTTTCGGAACATACAAGATGACAAAGACCAAATATATTTCCAGCCTCGTGAATAATTTATATTATTTGATAGATGACGTCAAGAAATGTTTTCCACGAGGTACATTTTATCCTATCTGGGATTTATTATTACGAAGTAGCTGTTCCCCACTCAGTGACTGTAAGTCGTGCAAAACTCAAATATATCCCTTAATAATAATGATAACATCTTTCTTCTAGACAGTATTTATGAAAATGTACAGGATTTTCAAGAGTTTACTGCATGATATATCCGCTTCGTAAAACATTAATCAACACTATATACTGTTTATGATGTGGTTGTGTTCTCTGAGCTGGATAGTTAATTTGTGAAGCTCTCATCGCCCTACTAGGCGACATCTTCAGTGCATACTTCAATTTGAAGTGAGCTTTTAGATTTCTCCACGAGTTTGTTAATCATCTCTCCTGGTGACACAGTGGTTAGGACTCTCGCCGACCATGCACATGGTCCGAGGTTCGATCCCCTGCCGACGCACACCCGATATCTATGGTTGGCCTGAGAAATTTGGGCTACGGATATCACATGCTGAAAATTCGATACTTGTACTGAAAATACGATGTGGCATCAAGCTGTAATCAAAATGAAATCATTGAAAGTGATTGGTTGTTTTTGTGTTTTCACACCTTTTAGGCTACTTGTGGGCTTTTTGTCTGATAGGTTGGCTTGGGGGTATATGTCTTTTGATTAAATTATGTGGATATCCATTCTTTTGGAAAACGTCCATGAGATATCTTTATTCACTGTTCCTTGATGTGGGAGTGCTGTCTTCTTGAAGTGTTTTTATGCAATTCCTTTTGCGTGTTATTGGATTGTTGCTGTTTCAATTCAGGATTTGGTCTGTGTATGTTGATTTACTATAAACTTCAGTTCCTAATTCCCCTGCGGTTTTTTGCTTAACAAAGACGTCCAAAAATGGGATTTTGCTCTCGAATTCCTCTTCTCTTGTGAATTTGATGTCGTTGAAGACTTTGTTTATTAAGTTGTGAGTTTTATCTAACTCGTTTCTTTTGATTATTACAAATGTATCGTCTACGTAACGTATCCAAATCTTGGGTTTGATCTTTAGTAGAATTATGTTTTCGAGCCTTTGCATCACTGCTTCTGCAATCAAACCTGATATTGGCGATCCCATGGGTGTTCCTTTGACTTGTTCATATATTTAGCCGTCGAATTGGAGATACGTTGTTAGGCATAGGTTTATGCATTCCATCCAGCTTGTGTGTTGCATTTTCGATTGTTGTGGAAGGTGTTCGTCGTTGCTAAGTAATTGCTCCATGGTTTCTTTTTCTAGTTTTTGTCCGATTGAGGTATATAATGCTGTGACGTGGAAGGATATCATTATTTCTTGTTTATCTACTTGGATGCCTCTGATTTCCTCTAGGAATTGAGTAGCAGAGTTGATGGAGTGATCACAATATTCTGTTAGGTGTTTTAGTTTTCTGTATAATTCTTTGGATAAATTATATTTTGGAGTTCCTGGTAGTGGTATAATTGGTCGTAACGGAATATTTGGCTTGTGTATTTTGGGTCTGCCGTAGAATCGGAGTAGGACTGGTCCACTGGATTTCATTCGCCATTGGTCTTGTTTTGTGATCTGTCCAGTTTTGGTGAGCTTGTTTAAGGTCCTTTGCATGCGGTTGTCCAATGTTTGTATGGGATTTGTTGATATACACCCTCGTCTTTGAGTAGTTCTTCAGCTTTCTTGGTGTATTCTTCTCTGTCCATGACTACTGTTGTTCTTCCTTTTTCGGCTGGTAGAGTGACGATGTCCTTCCTACTTTACAGCTTTTTGAGGACCTTTAGTTCTTGAGAGTTGAGTTGTGTGTTGTTTTTTTCTGTTTGACCATTGGTACAATTGTTTGGCGTATCTCTTCCTGTGTATACACTGTGACACAATGGTCTCTGAGCTGAAGCACAAACCATTTCATGATGATATATCTGCTTTGTCTCCATCAAGACATCCGTGATATCTCGTTGAAAGCTAATTGTAAAGTGCACATTTTGACACCCACGGACATAACTGAAGGATACTTATCTCATGTACTGGAATACGTCGCCACTCACAATCAGGCCATTCCTCAAGTTTAGTAGGAAATTGTTATTCAGAAGCTTGTAAACATATTAACTACACACAAGAGTAGATTATACCACCAGAGGTCATATTTTAATCGATTAAAACAAACCGAACGAGAGAAAGTGTTTTCAATAGAGAGGCGGAAGCTTCTGGTAGACCAAGTTTTAAGCAGGCCACCCTAATCGCTTCAAACATCAAGACGTTATCCAACAGGCTGCTGAACCAAAAGAACCGTTTCTTATACAGCAGGTATCGGTTGTCTTTCATTAAAGCTAATGAATTTCTAGTTGTTCATTTCGCTGCAGTAAAACCAAGCAATGAGAAATGTAAATAGCGCAATAAATGAGGATTTCGTTTATTTTACTGAGTTCCCAGGCATTACTTTTACCATCTGTGGCACAGTGGTTAGGACTCTCGCCGACCATGCACATGGTCCGGGGTTCGAGCCCTCGCCGACGCACACCTGATATCTATGGTTGGCCTGCGAATTTTGGGCTACCGATATCCACGCTGAAAATTCCACACTTGCACCAAAAATACGGTGTGGAATCAAGCTGTAACCATAAAATAAAAAAAATAAAAAAATAAAAAATCTGTAAGGCTCTGATCAACTGTAAGATACTTCATGGTAAGGCGTTATACCTTGATTAAACTAAAATTAGTTCTACTTTCTAACCTAATCATATTCCAGCTAATGGTGTCCACGGAAAAAAAGCAATCATTAACAGACGGGGGACACATACCTCAATCCCTTCACAGTCGAGGTTATTCACTTTTGCAATAAAATTCTTGACCCAAATAAATGTGTGTAATTCCTCTCATTATCTTCAGCATCAATGCATGTTACTTGCATAGGTAATTCACAAATCAGGATTGGAATTTTTAACACCAGACTATTTTACAAGTCATCAAATAATAATGATGGAGTTTCAATATAGTATTTTGCAAAGAAGTGCACCAGCTCAAGTTGACACACTCCATGTATCACACAAAAGTAGGCAAAGGAAAGAAAACAGACTCAAAAAAGACATCATAAGCAGAAATTTGAGGGAGAATGAATAGCAACATGGGAAAACATGACGGTTTAATGGGTATGAAAGTTCAAAGGGAGTGAATGCTTTTGCACCACTGAAAACGACTGATCATCATTTTCACTAATCTCATTTGTTACTCCAATAATAATTCTAATTTTGTAGGATCCATAGTTTTCCCCGTCACCGAGTTCGAATACCAGTGCTGACTGACGATAACGAACGCCTGATGATTTCCTAGTCGATTATTCCCCAACCCAAAACTAATAAATTCCAGAAGATTCACATGGGGGTGATTATAAGGCACATCCCTTATTGAAGTGATTTCACTTTTATCCGGTGGGTACTTGGGCTTTTCAAATAAACAGGCCAAAATATACCAGCATGATTTCATGAAAATTCAAAAAGATACGCTTCGCTTCTGAACTCACTACCTCTATTCAATCAACTACATTGCGCAGATATCAGTGTCAGGCGTTATTTGCTGATAAAAGTGCAGCAAATGTAACACAGTTGAAGAATATAATGCCACTGATAATATGTTCGCCAGAAAAACTTTAAGTGCAAAATTTCACTTAAAAAGCATACAAGAAATATAACTTGTCATTAAACCACCATAGCAACGGGGTACGACGCTACAATTAGCGGGGATATTCAATAAACCAACTCCTCATACAGTAGGCTTGGAAACGTGTACTTCCAAAGCAAGCGAGAGAGAACATATATATGACATATATTGGTTAATTCACGAGGTTTGAACAGTAGGCGTTCACATGCTGAATTCTCATTGGTTGACACCCACCATGTGACATGAGGTTTGTTTTAATTTAACAGACTAATGAGTTAGACTGTGGGCACACTTAAGGCTCTCCATGTGTAACACATGTCTTAACTATTTCAGTCGGTGTAGCTTCACAACTTAATTGATTAACTTCCCTTTTTACCTTATATTTTTACTTTATATTATATTTATTACCTTACATATTATACCACTTAACAGGGTATAGAAACGCAAACTTCTGCGGTCAAAGTCAACTTGCCTTTCATATCTTATTACTTTCAATGGACATGTCTCACAGCTATAAAGAAGGACAAACCGGGCTGCTGTGCAGTAACCGATAACCGCATATCACAGTAATTGGAAAAATAATTCTTCCCTCAGATATCCTGTTTTTCTATTCAAAAGAAATTTCCAATAGAAAACTTAAACTATGTCTGTATAGTTAATCGAAAAACCAAAGAAATGGGTACAGATTAACTGGATGAGAAAATTACGATTAGTACGAGTATGTTTACTGATTAGTGAATGGCGGAGCTGAAATTTCGGAATTACTTTGACTTTATTAGTGTTTTGCAAAATATTTTTACAGTCTTTTTTTCAAGTTAGTACTGATGATATTATTTAACACAATAATGAAAACGCCACAAAGTACACAACAGAAACAGTATTATAAACAGAGTTGCGATAATGAGCGTAGAAGGAATATGGTGTATATGACTGATTGATAAGTTTTTTGAAACCATTCACACAAACCAGTGTTAACAGTTGAACCAGAGAGTCGAAGTCAAATTAGATACACCTTCAACAACGCTGCAAGCAGATGGAATGGGAGTGGACTCACCAAATTGTCAACGGGTGAGTCAGTGATCTACTCCGGTCACCCAGAAGATAACCACACGCACACCGAGGGCGTAGCTATCATGATGTCACCAACGGCAACGAAAGCCCTGATACAATGGGAGGCGATTTCGTTCAGGATAATGACCGCCAGATTCAACTCCAAAGGAAGGAAAGTGTCAATCATACAATGTTATGCACCCACAAACAACGCAGACCTCGAAAAGAAAGCTCTGGGAGCGAACCAATCAGGAACCGATTGTGAAACAAATAGGCAGGAAGAGATGGAGATGGATTGGCCATACGCTGAGGAAACCATCAAGTGACATCACTAGACAAGCCTTCGAGTGGAACCCGAAAGGGAGGCGGCGAGTTGGTCGTCAGTGCAAGGGTGACTTGGAGGAGGTCATGCGAGGAGGAGATGAAAGCATGTGGACAGACCTGGAGCAGGGTGAAAAAGTTGGCAGAAAACCGAAGGCAATGGAGGTGCGCAGCTGAAGCCCTATGTTCCTCTAGGAACTAAAGGATACAATAATAATAATAATAATCAACAACGCTGCACCAAATGACGAACAAAACAGCTGTCAAGTATTTAGTTCACTCTGGTCTTATGAGTAACCACAATTAGTTGGTGTGAATGGCTTTTAAGTTTGTTCACGAACTGACTTCAGTTAGAAAACCACTGAGAACCAGGAACTACTGGGTAGCAGTTTCGTCCTGCTCTGAGACTCTTCATCAGTACATACCCATGACCTAACCGGGGATCGGACCTACAAGTTACATAACGACCTCGTTGACTATGGTTTTCAACGTTTTATATCAATTATTAGTGGCAATCATCATAAAACTGTCAAGCTACTTAATATTTAAGGTGTAAGAAAAGTAAAAGAGCAGAAATAACTGGGAAATTCTTACTTCTAAATGCTTTGAACCTATAGCTTGAGCTAAACGACTAGCGCGTGATCTTGTGTACGCGGAACTATTCTCAGTTGACATATAACATGTTGTTAAAAGACGAGAGCATAATTCATGTGCACTGTGAGGAATATATTCATTTGATTCATTCAGTAAGGAACGACACTGTTCTAGGACAGTGAAGTTACGTTGACTGATTATAGCTTCGAAAATCTAAATAAAGGAATAAAGATAAAACCCAGGTATATCCAGGCATGAAGTCAGGAATATTTAACAAATAAAAGGTGTCTTATTATCGTAACATTGTATAATTTAAGTTTAGAACAAAATACAAGCTTCTCAACATCTCAGTAGATACTTTTGTAACAGTAGAAGGAAAGACACGGAAGCCAAGATATATTCTCAAGTTAGCAAACAGCTATTTATATCTATACAGTTTATATTCTTCAACCAATCACTGAACGTGTGATTTTGGTCTACATCAAACGACATGAAATAGAATGTTCAAATACATATAGTATTCTGTTGCTAATGCAGTATTGAATGTGAGAATAATACTCCGTTGGAACCCATTGTCTGCATCGCACAACCACAGTTTAATAATGCCCTGTTTTAGCACACCTTGTAAACAGTGAGCATAAGGTTGATGTTAATACAGCATTTAAAATTATCTATCGCATTCCTACTGATCTTAATTTTGCTCTACGAGTTCGTCTTTTACAGACAGCTGAAGCAACAGGAACCCACTTGAAGAAGCCAAACCTGTGTGTTCAGAAGAAAATTGTACAGCCACTTTCCTTACCTTGGCCATCGTTACATGAATGTATAAACCGGACTTCTTCGCCCCCCTCTCCCCCTAAACCTTTAAAATTATAAAAATTATAATTGTCCAAATTATTTTATTTTTTCTGACCATTTCATCTCTAATTACGTGTTATCCTTGTAAAAATTAATTTATTCTAACCATTTCTACCTCTTAAATGTGTATTGATTTTCTCCGTTTATTATCAACCCATTGACATTTTGACACTGACTAATTATTGTTAACAAACATATCGCCACTTAATTGGTAAACTGTTGTGTACTGTAATAAAAATGGTATATATTTATTAGAGTAGAGCCATAGATGAGGATCTAATTGAAAAGCAAATATTTATTCGCTCAATCTTTCTGTTTTGTAATAATAATTACTATTGTCATTATTTTTAAATTAATAGTTTGATTCCAAACAGTGTGGAATTCTCAGCACTTATTATGAGTAGTATGTTTTTAAACGATAATAGATCACTTTACAAAGTGGTGTCCTGGGCTACAAGTTACCTCCATTGACGAAGACACGTTCAAAAATATTTAGCCGATAGGGTGACGATTCCCTAAATTATATGAACAAATGAAAATGAACAAGTCAGGAGTGTTTCTACAACGTATACTCACAATTGCAAATCCACCATATCATAAATTATGTCAGTGACAATGCGAATTACTGAAGCTTCTATGAAAAAGAATTGGAACATACACTGTTTCTGATTCCTTGAAGTTTATCATAAGGACTGCTAATCCTAAGGTAACGACTACGCATTTTGCCCCGCTTTGATGTTACTAATCTGTTTACTAATGTGTCAGTCATTGAGACTATCATCAACTTTATTTGCAGAGAGGTTGTCGATAGATTTGAGGAAATTTTTAATTTTATGCAGTAAAGATGAACAATTTCAATTGTGGCCAGCTATTGAGTCACGTCGAAAGTAATGCAATGGGAATCCACTGAGGGCTACCTTTTGCAAACTTCTTATTGTCAGGCCTAGAAGTCGACAAACTGAGATAGACAGAATTGTAAAAAAGATATGCAAATGGCATTTCCATTGCTTAAGAGTAAATCAGAAGCATAAAACTTATTGACGATACTCGATTCCCATCACCTTAATCTTCACTGTACAACAGCACATGAGGAATATGATATTATTAGATTCCCAGATGCAACTCTGGTGAAGAGGACTCCTGGAAGTGTATGAAGGTCCATATTTAGAAATTCATTGTGGATAATATAGTACATACACTTTAAGAGCTTTGTTCTCATCTAATACAAAAAGAAACTAGTTAAGGCCTTGTCCAACAGAAAGCAAAAAGTCTATCAAGGCAGCGCATATGAAAACGAAATAAAGACCCTGAAGAATATTTGATATAAGAATGGACTTTCTGAGTAGTTTATCAACGAGTATTTTAAAGAAATGTGAGTCAATAAAACCATCGCAAATGTTTTAAAAAAGCCAGCATATGGTAGTCTATCATTTAGGGGAAACGATGTACAAGAAATAGGTAAACGAAGACTAGACGAAGCTATAAGAGTTTATTAACTCCAAAACTCATCTAGCCCAATACCATCAAGTGGGTTCCTCAACAATATGAGAAAAACCTGTTGTCAATCCCCGACACTTTTAACTATGTTAATTTGACTGAATTTGTGAAAATAATTACATAGATAGTACTGAAAGGCAGGTGTCTATTCGAATCGTCAGACATATGTCCAAATGGTTGGAAAAAATGCTAAAGCCAATATACGAAAGAGTTAGCTAACAAATCATCTTCTAGAGTACGGACATGATACTGACGCTATCAGTTATATGCTGCTATCAACAGACAAATAAACAGAAATATGCTTGCAATTGCAGAGGCTTGTGGGATTACGGACCATACATCAAGTCCTTGTGTACAAAAGAAGACGATGGTCACTTTGAACCTGTCATGGTAGAGTCCTTTACTTCTCTAATTCTTAATATTGCTACTTTATTTCATTTTATTATCATTATTATTGTCCTGGTTAAAACCAACTTTGTCAATATCGTTATCAAAATAAAACTTTTTACCTCGGTTTTGATTTGCTTTACTATTATTACTTATTCTACAATTCTTAATATTACCATGTACTTTCTCGGACAACTAATTGTTTATTATGATTGTGTGACTGAACTCCAACCAACCATAAACTTAACTGTCAGTCTTTTTTATCCTTTCCACTCCTTACTTATCACCTTACTTATTTCTCACTATATATATAACACTGAATACTCTGTATTCAGTTGACAAATTCTACTGAAATTTGACGAATAGATTAAATCATACTTTATCAACATGTTGCTTGTTTTAAATTCATTTCGAGAAATAAACTTTTCTACCTACACTATCTGTTTGCGTAGGTGTAAGTTCACGTGATGGTTGAAAATAGTCAGAGAGGAGTACCTGAAAATTTTGAACTGAATCTTGAAGGAACGATGATAGTTACTTATTAAGGCTACTACCTGAAGGCATTTATTTGTCCTTAGGATGAGAACTGAATCGTGCATAAATGTAAACTGATGGATAAAATATGTCATAAACAATACCACATTTAACAACCTGAAAACTAACTTGATAACAAAGACTGAAGACAATGCATGCAACTGAAGCACTATCTAAGCCACCGCTTAAGCAAAGAAAAAACCCTGATGACTTGCTCCGACGTAAATTATCCCACAACCATAATGCAGGACCATAGGCAATCTCTTCAGCAGGTGATAGTATGTGAGTATCAATCTTTATTTCACGGGAGTGATCAAACCAATAATCACTATGACAAAGATTGAAAGCAACCTGTAGACAGAAAGTAGTTTAAATGTGTCTTTAGAAATAATAATCAACAAAAATAATCATCGGTTGACAATTTATGAAAATGTATACGGCCTCTAAAATTGGCGTAACGACAATTAGTGACCGTTAAGTGTTTTCAGTAGGTTGTAACCAGTAATCTTATCTAAGAGGCACTTTAAAAGTTGAAAGAAACTATGCAAATTATCCGGTCAGTTATGTCAATCAATCATTAGCAATGAGATTAGAAATAGGCGAGTTTCAATAATTCACTGACTCGTTATCTTTTAATCAACTGGTTATCTACTTGAATAGCCTCCCATCTACTAAAATTTCAACTACTGGATAGTGTTAGTAGCTTACTCACGAAAAATGAGATTCATAACTACTTAATGAGCAAATACGTGATCAATGAATTTAATCTACCGGCTACAGACAACGTCACAGGATATGTGTTGCGAAGTATATAAGTGGGACAAGAAATAGAATGGAAAAATCTACAGTATTAGAAAAAGGGATAACGTTGCTTATATCTACTGAAAAATTCAATTATTTACCAAGATATTATAACACCTTTTCTCCACACATTAACAGGTATTATTGTCGTTTAATCTTACTAGAAAACTGCGCATTATATAATCACTATTAAATTTCATAAGGATGTTATAACTTTCGGGAGCATTTTTGCTTTCATAATTATCAGAAGTAATTCAACTAACCAGTTACTGTGCTATGGATGTTTACCATCTTGATATAATTTACTGTGTACTACTGAATGAAAAAATAAGATTTTAAATCTCACTTGATGTGACTCACAAGGTCTACACTAGTTTATTGCGGCTACCGGGACTATCCTATTGCACGCTTAAGTGACGGGAGCTGTTTTAAACCGACCAATTTGTAGTTTGCGTTTGAAGACTAAGAGAATTAAGCCATAGGTATTACACTGATTTCATTTTGATTCGCTGAACATAAATAACAGGATTATCTCATTGGATGTTGAAATATAATTACAACTTCTTAGCTAGTTTATCAGTCTTATTGATTATCTAGTTTGGTTCCAAGAATAATCATAATTTGTAAGACGTCAATGAAAAAATCCCTTCTCAGCTGATCACATCATAATCTGCCATTTCTCACAAATTAGTTAATTAGTTTTCGGTCAACTTTTTACGCTGCTTTAGTCATCCACTTAGTCTGTTAGAAGCATAACTAGAATCTCTCAGTCTATAATCATTATATCAATACAGCTAACATACAGAAATTCAATTTCGAAATGAAGGGTTTATAAGACTGATGTTAAATTTTTTTTAAATCTAAGACCGTACCTTAATCACTGGGTAATCCTTGTGAGCGATACCGGTAGCTTCAAGCTTTGCAACCGATTTTTCTACAGCTGCACGTCCAAAACAACGGCTAGCAATTCGTTTTGATCGTATCGAGTTAAGGGAGACAGTAATTGGATGAACTGACACATCCTCAAATCCAAATTGTTCGCTCATATAAATAAGCTGACCGTTAACAGCAGCTAACGCGCAGCCATCATAACATACCCTTCCTGAGTCACATCCTCTAAGATTTGTATAAGCATAAAGTCCTCCGCCATTTGTTCTGCTTGCACACTTAACGAGTTCTACTCTTCGATTTAGTTTTCGAAGTTCATGATGACTAGCACTGGCATTAAAGACTGCATCTACACCAGCTGCAAACATGCGAATATGAGGTGGAGTTCCTATCCACAGTTCTTCACAAGTTTCTAAGCCAACCTGGACATTCTCTGAACAGCCGTCTCCAGCAAACCGTAAGATTGCATCACCAAAAAATGTAGACGACTGTAAATCCTGAGTTACTCTACATACAAAATCGGGTAACTCAAAGTGAACAATGGATTGATAATGAGGCCATGAAGTAAACCAGCGAGTCTCTCTATGTAAGCCTTCATCAGCAAGTACTTGTTTTGGTCTTATCAGCAAAATCTTTGCATTCAGTAGGAGAATTCTGCAGTTATAAGCTACACCTTCATGTAAAACCGGCATCCCAATATCGCAAACAATATCTTGCATTTCAGGGTTTGCTTTCATTTCTTCTAAAATCTTTGCAATAGACTGCCATGAGTGGGTATATGTATCCGGTTCGTGGAAGTGATCTTCACATCCATAACTTGAAATCTCTAGTTCTGGACCAACTCGATATTTAGCTTGCAAACGTTTGGCAATTTGAATACTTTTGATAATACGTTGAGTATTCCCAGTAAAGTCAAGCGCCCACTGATTTAAAACACAAAGGGCGACAGTAAATTTGTTCGAACTGGAAAAGGACTGAAAAGTATTGGTGGACATTATATCTGTAAATTAAACCAGATTACCCATGAATTATATGTACAGCCACGAAAAATACAGACATACGGAAATACGTTATTAGGGTAAGTCATAGAATAAATTTAGCTACTAACGAAGTACACAATTCTAGGTGAAATTCAGCATGAACCTTCTTTAGAAACCAGAAAAGCATATGAATCTACCTGACTGTGAATTTCTAAGAAATCCGTGACAATCCAAACCATTACTTAAACCACACTCAGAGTGATGCGTAAAATCTAAAGCCACAGGATTCGCCTAGAATAAGGTACTATATCAAACATAAAATGGCATAATTTACAAACCTCATACTGGGAGGTGTCTGTGGCTGAATGCCATCAAAAGCACAGTTAGTGTGCGTCAATACGAGAAATACAATACAGACAATACGAGAAACAGCAAAGCTGTGTCAAAGGCTCGGGTGAGGATCAAGGCAGGCTGTAGACAGCCGGTCATTTGGTCAATTGATGCCTACCCACCAAATAGACTGGAGAAAAATATTTTTAAAAAATATGTTAAGTATTCGTTGTGCTACACATTTCCATGCTAGTAAGCTCGCCAAAAGTCGATGTGAAGCGTCTTCATAACAATAGGAACTTGGGGATAAGTTCCTTCACACCATTCCTATATGCTGATGACCCCGAAGTCGTCGACTCCTGCTACACTCATGAATTAAGCGATATGGTTACTAAAATACATCTTGAACTAAGTGGTCTCGCAACATGGTGTGCTGAATCCTGCCTAAAGTTTAACATTGAAAAATGCGGCTGGATTTGTGTTGGCAACAGTAACATTGACCTAACTCTTGAAATAAATGGGCGAAAACTAGCCAAGCTCAACTCAGTCGTGGATCTTGGTATCAGATACTCTAGTAACTTAAAGTTCTCTGAACAAACTGAGTAGCCCAGACGTAAAACACTAAGGCTCCTAGGATAAAAAAAATATTGAATTACTAAGTAAAAATAGATGTTCGGAGTTTATTGATCAAACGATCATCAGGTTACCAAAGAAAGTAAATAAATCCACACCCCGAAGACGGTATTTCGATTATAAAACGTTTACAGTTATCTATCGTCTCAGCAGAACACAATCGCATAACAACAGAAGGAAAACAAATTCACTGAAAGTGTTTATTACACAAAAAAATAGATTTCAGTTGTGCAGATAATTTAGATGAGCAGTCCTTTGTTACTGTTCCATCCGCGCACACAGTACATACATGTTTCTTCAAGAGTTCAAGAAAAGCATCATTACCCTTGAGTATAAATGTGTGATCTGAATGAAAAAATTTTCCAGATAATTTCTTGCTAAGCATTTACAAGTAATCACTTTACAAGCAATATATACGGGTAGCTAAATAGTTTTCGCTTAAGGGACCTCATAATTTATTGTTGTTCGACATCTAGCAGGTCTATGGAAGCATTATGAAATGATTAAATTATTTAATAAGTAATGCAGTAGTTTTCAAAGCTTGAACAGGAATGCTAACACAAATGACCATGGATTTATGGCAAATAATAACAGTGTTAACAGCAATAATAACAGCGTTTATCTTCATGATGATTACAATAGTAACAACAATACCGGGTATTATTGTCACAACGGATCTATTATTAACTTAGACGGCCACTAGTTATAAAACTATATCAGTAAAATCTGTCACCTAATTTTACTCTCATTGCTGTCATCTCTCAATACTGATGGCGTCAACTACTTTAATCCAACTGATCTCAAGATTAATCCTGAAAGTGAATGAAACCTTAATGTATTCCAACTGATAACAGGAAGACTGCATGTATTATAGTACATACTGTGATCTTGGGTGCCTACATTCGGATTTGAATGTCTATATATATGGTCTGGGTGTATATAGGTACTAATATACTGCAGTATCCAAGTTGTTTCCATCCCGATTAACCTAGGTCAGCTGACTGCTGATCAGCAGTTCCCTGAAAATAATAGTCAAGCGATACTTGAAGTTCCATAAAGTTATCACGTCTTCGAAATTTTGGATGAACCATTAATAATGCCAAGTTCTTAGACTTCGGCATAGAATGAATTCACTGAATTCAGCAAATAAATCCACTGACATACCTCACAATCAAGAAGCGAGCTCAAAGAAATCACTGGTTTATACTAGCTCGTAATCAGGATTCAGATTCAGATTCAGATGATAAGGATAGAAGGCTCTTGTGGCCTGTGTTAATCCTTGCAAAGTATATCTCTGCAGAGATCTAACTTCTCTTTGAAAGCGTTCACCGATGGAGCTGATACTACTGAATCAGGTAAGGAGTTCCAATCGTTGACCACTCTGTGAGAGAATCTAAATTCTGCACGTATTTTAATCGTCCTTGGTTTGAGCACCTTTTTGCGGTGACCCCGTAAATGTATCCTAGAAGGGGAGAAAAGGAGAGAAATGTCAGTTCCTAAATCACCCTTAAGTATACGGTATGCTAAAATTAAGTCGCCTCTCTTCCTTCGGTATGATAACGGGAAGAGATTTAAATGCTCCATCCTCTTATCATAAGGAAGGTGTGAGATACCACTAACTAATTTTGTTCCTACTCTCTGTACTCTTTCCAGAATATGTGCCTCCTTTTTGAAGCATGGACTCGTCGCTTGTATGCAGTATTCTAGATGAGGCCTGACATATGTTGCGTAGAGTATTTGGAACATGCCCTCGTCTAATCGTTTGAAAGCCCTTCGAATTGCCCATAGCATTCGAAAAGCTTTAGCTGCGGCTGCATTGCAATTTGCAGTTGTTTTCAAATCGTTGCTGACAATGATTCCTAGGTCCTTCTGTTCTTTAACATCAGGTAGTTCTGCATCCCCTAGGGAGTACGACGTATAAGACTTCTGACCTAAGTGCATTACCGCGCTTTTCCTAGCATTCATTTCCAAACTCCATAGGCTTGACCACTCAGCTAATTTATCTAAATCAGTTTGTAGGGCCAACCTATCCTCGTTATTGTTTACAGTTTTCCATACCTTAATGTCATCTGCAAATAATAATGAAGATGAAGAAAGAATCCCTGGTAATTCGTTAACGTATAATAGGAATAGCAATGGACCTAATACAGTTCCCTGGGGCACTCCACTGGATACTGCTTTCCATCCTGATAGTACACCATTAACTCTAACCTTCTGCCTTCTATCCATTAAGTAATCTCTAAACCACTCACATAGGCATTGGTCTAGTCCGAAACCTTTCAGTTTACTAAGGAGACCTAAGTGGGATACTTTGTCGAACGCCTTGCTAAGATCAATAAAAACCACGTCCAACAGATGGTCCCTATCTCTGGCCTCAACCCAGTCTTCCCTAGCCAATAGTAGGTTTGTCAAGCAGGATCGTCCTGGTCGGAATCCATGCTGTTCCACAGCCAACAAGCCATGTGTTTCAACATAAGCTAATAGTTGATCCCTTATAATAGTTTCCAGTACCTTTGCAATAATGCATGTCAGACTTACCGGCCTGTAGTTAGATACCAATTGCCTATCCCCGTCCTTGAAGATAGGGCTTATAATGGCATCCTTCCAGTCCCTGGGTAGCTTAGCCTGCGTCAGAGACATTTGGAAAATCTCCGTAAGCGGAATATATATTATATCCGCCAAGGAAAGTAACAACTTAGGGTGGAGTCCATCCGGCCCAGGTGATTTACCTGGCTTCAGTTTAGACAGTAGTTTGAGAACCTTTGTGTGCTCTACCACAATTGAGGGCATCTGAGTGGCGATGGCAGTGACCTCGCCATATCCCTGGGTGGTACTATCAGACGAGAAGACGTCACAGAAGTATTCAGAGAGGTTTTCAGCCTTCCCTTCGTCTGACTCAGCCGCTTCTCCACTAATGGTTATGAGTGACGGTATACCACTGCTAGTTTTAGTCCTACGTTTAATATACGAGTAAAACCTTTTTGGGTAATGAACGCAATCTAGTACTAATCGTCTCTCGTACTCTATACGACTCTTGTTAATCGCATACTTACAGAGGTTTCGAATTTTGCGGTAGTCTTTCTGGAAGTTTTCCCTTCCTGTCATAACAAATTGGTCCCATAAGTTCTTTCGCCGTCTTAATAACCTCCTTATTTCACTAGTGATCCAAGGAGGTTCATGCGACGGCTTTCGAGGAGTGTACCAAGGTATAAAAGGTGAAGTGACACGATCTAGTGTATTCCTAAATCCTACCCAAGCTTCCTCGACAGTCTGACTTGTATCAACTGACCAGTCAACCACAGTTGCTGCGTTCCGGATTCCTTGTATATCCGCTTTCCAAATGTTTGGACGAGCAGATTTTGGCCTGTGCATGAGAGAATGAATCCTAAACGTAAAAGCAATGACTATGTGGTCACTGCTGCCAAGCGGCGGGAGGCACCTAATGTTACCAACGTCCTCCTTCTGGTGTGTCAATACCAAGTCTAGAGTAGATGGATCATGTTCAGGGTGATACCGTGTTGGTGCATGCATATGTTGCACGAGTGCACATTCAAGCACTGTCAATGTGAGCTCCCTATTGAAACAGGTATACAAACTAGTGGAGTTTAATTCCCCCCAATTAATATGTGGAGCGTTAAAGTCGCCAACAATCAGACACCTATTTCTACTACCCCACGCCCTCAAGTGATTTAGAACGAAGTCATCAGCTTGGCTAGCAGGACTTCTGTAGATAACTCCGATCGTTAAAGTGCCTTTGTTTAAGTTAATGATGCAACTTGCGGCTTCACTGGTGCCGCTGTCATGAGCTTCTGACAACGTTGACCTGATCCCTATGTCATCCCGGATGTAAAGAGCAACCCCCCCACCTTTCCGACTACTTACTCTGTCTGCTCGTATGCAGATATACCCAGGTATGAGTGGAGTTAAGTCTACACCCACTAACAACCACGTCTCAGTGATAGCAATTACATCAGGTTGTAGTCTTTCAGATAACTCTCCTAATTCGGCGAGCTTATTCCTAAGACTACATGCGTTCGTATAGCACACCGAAACACCTACGTGTTCACCCGGCTTATGAAGAGAGGTCTCGGCAGCATCGGTTTCCGAGACCTCACCACCCGAAAACCCAATAGTTTGAGGTCCTTCTCGCCTTTCTCTAGCCTGGCCTTTAGTTCAGCCACGGCTTCTCTTCTTTTGATTCTATCTTCCAAAGGCCAATCAGGCCTTATTTTTAGACTTTTGTCGTTGACTTTGAACGCGTTGTCGAGGATGGTCCTCCTCTCTGTTTCGTTCCCTAAAACTACCTTAAGTAGTCGTCGAGGAGTTCCTGTAGCATCAGGGTTTCGTTTTCCGATCCTGATAGCCTTTCGTACGTGTACTCCAGTTGTTTTTTCGGGAAGTATTTCCCGGAATATGGAGCTGATCGCCTTCAGATCATCTGCATGTCGGGCAGCTGGATCTGTGTTCTTAGATTCCTCCAAGTTCCAGATGATTATACTGTAACTAGAGTCCGTGGGTTTCTGAGTTTTGCTGGAACTAACAGTCGTCGAGACCTTGTTGGTAAACTCGGCTACTGTTTCTTTCCTAGTTTTGTTTAGCTTCTTACCTTTCGGCAGCAACCAAGTGGAGTCCGTTTCTCCCACTCTGTTTTCGCCGCGACTAGAAGCCATTCGTGCACTAGACACGCTGCGCTTTGGCGTTGCTATTTCACAGGCTGGTTTTGCCATGCTGGCACTACTTGCCCTTCTGGATTTCCGTTGCCTTTTGCGCTTTGCAGCAACAGATGTCTGGGCATTTTGTGCTTCTTTCGCTTCTGAGACTTCAGGAGGTGATGCACCCTGAATCTTACAACTATGTCCTGAACCGCCATCCTTGGCGAAGGTTTCTGGTACAGGCTTTTCAACTATGTCTTTCGACAATTTCTTGGACATCAAGAGTCCTACTGCCTCTTGGATGAGGACATCTAACGGGTTGCTGCAAAATTTGCACAGCCATGGAGATGATGGCTTGCAACATCTCTTATAGGCTACTGGTGTTAAACCAGTGCAAACTTTGTGGAACCAAAGGCTGCAGTTGTCACACTGCATCCCATCATCCACCGGAAAGTGGCAGTCCGGTCGACCACAATTGTTAGTTGGGGCCATAATTTTAATTTGTTACAACTATACAGTTATATATACGTCAAAACAGTGAGGTTAATGCCAAACAAATACACACTTATATATACGTGTGACAGCTAGGTAAATACCAACCAAAACACAAAATGTGAATAAAACAGACAACACTTGAACTAAATAAATCAGTTAAAGTGAACTAAAAGCTTCTGATGTGGTTTAAACAACAAAAGCAGAATTTACTTCACAACGTAAAAAATGCCACTCTCCTTTTTCAAAGCGGGAGGATATTGGATTTTCTCTCCTGGGCTCCTATAGTATGTATTGTCAGTTATACAGCCGACGGATAAAATGCTCCTCTGTAGAGATACATATCTCAAGGATTAATATAGGCAAGAAGAACCTTCTATCCTTATAACCTAAATCTAGAAGAAGATGAGCTCACCAAGCGGGCAGCCTGTCGAGAAAGGATAGCGGCACAAATGGCTTATGGAGAGGCTGAGCACTTGAAGGTCACTTATGCACGCTGTGATTGGTAGATTTTCCTTTGCGTGAACGTTGCGGCTAATACGTGCCTTACGTTACTGAAGCGGGCTTTGAAATAGCAATAATAAAAGCGGATAGGGGATAGGATAGAGGCACAAATCAGCTGATCGCTGCAGTTTTAAGGTGTTATCGTGGCGTTGTGTTTGGGCTATTCCACGTTGTTTTTACTAGTTTTTTCGACAGAAGTGCTCTTTAAAAATCGTATTTTAACGAAAAAACGTGTAAAAAGTGAGAAAAGTGATCTTTTTTAATGTGTTTACAAAATGCTCTCTTTTTATGGAATTGAAATACTGAGGTGCATAAGAAATGTCAGAATTTGTTGAAAAATGTCAATTATGATATAAAATGCAAAATAACTCTAATTGTTTCAGTGCATTTTACGTAAATGATTAGGAGAGAGTTAAATATCTAGGTAATTATGATTTCATTATGTTTACATAATTTCACAGTAATAAAGGAAACTGAGTTGGTAATTTCGTCAGATGACGGTGAATAAACAGTCATTTAACTGGTAGGTACTGTGTTTCAAGTAATTTATTTCGCCCATCATTTCCTGACTGAATTTTTGTCATTTTTAATTTCCAGGTTACGGTCTTCAATCCCGCAATCACTCAATACATTTATGCATTCCAGTGGGGTTAAAAAGAAAAATATTCGTGTAATTGATGAAATATTTGTGATATTATGAATGTATTTGTCGAAATAAACATTGTTTTAAAAATTTTGCACCTTATTCGTACACTAATAATACTTACTGTTTGTCAAGTTGCAAAGTGATGCTAGCGTAGAAGACATAATATTGGTAAAGTGCCATATTTACACCTGGTTGAATTTAGACACGATGGGGGTACTGTTATCGCTTTCGCTAGTAAACCTTAAACAGGCGATATGCACAACAAAAGCCTATCTAATGCGTTACAGTATTTTATGATAACAAAGTAATCAATCAAATTTAGTGACGTAATCAGCCAATGCACGAGTCTGAGTGTTAATGTGATCATGTAAGAGCCTATTGATACGAAATGATAGCACAAGAAGAGTAATGTAGTCATCTCTTTATTATGCAATGATTTCCTTTGAGGTAGTGGTGTTAAACGCAACATAAGAATAGCAGACTATTTGTGATAAATAGGATATACGTTGCATAGTGCGCATGAAGTGCCTAGACTACCACTACAAGTCGTGTACGTATAGGACCTATATTTGCTAGGTTATGTTTCGTTATTACACATGTTTGACGGCTACTTTCTTAACAATCGCGAATACCAATATTGTACGCAACTGAAACGCTTTACGCAAGGCTTAATGATGCATTGAGGAAATAGTAATATTTTAAGACTGACGCATTTCACATAAGTATTAATACGTTGCCTACCATATTCTCGTTAACTCTGCAATGTCCTCAAAATGATAAGTGAAAGAGACAAAGTTAGTCGACATAAATGCATATATTTGTAAGGAAAAAATAATCAATCAAGTTAAAAATGGCTCAGAATGAAAGAGTACATATCTACACTAAAGAGAGTTAATAACAATCCAGTGAAAAAATCGCAGTTGTAGAGCTTTTTTATAGCTGCATCATAGTCATCACAAAGTCCACCAAACACTCTATCCACGACATCTGTATCAGTTTGCCTCCGTTATTAGTGGTGTTGAACCAGTCTTTGCAGTTTTTGTCACCACCAGACCCGTTCGCAGAAAATGGATGTGAACTTTTCAAGCAGAGATTGAGATTGTACTCCTTCGAATACCTTCGGCCGTATTGAGGAACATCCTAGGATGTATACATATCAGATAAATTAATCTTACCTCTGGTGAACAATTCCTAATCTTAGCAACACTGAATATGTGAACATAAGAAGCAACAATCATAGAGTTGGTGAAATTCTATAGATTACTCGTCCATATATTCCACGATATATTTCAGGAAATGTGTAACTTCCAAACCACCTGTCACATTTTGTCTTCTATAAAAAGCAAATATTATACACGTGACTCTTATCCATCCGTTACAATTAACTGAAAGAGATAAAATCTTCAAACTTTATATTTCTTTGATTAAGTTACCCAGTAATATTCTCCTTGTAAGTGGATCTAATGCTTCTCACATCTGTGAA